ACTTTATTATTTATTTGCTTTATTTACTAAAGTAATATTTTTTGCAATACTTGTTCTGCTGTTAAATTACAAAACAGCTTTAAAAATCGCTGACGGGGGGGGGGCGTGGGGGGCATTTGTTCACGTACTCGTCCTTCCAGAAACTCACCCAAGTATGTTTGTTTGTACGTGTGTGAAACACTGACACTATCCCTTGCATTTCTGCGAGTGGGAATTCCCTCCCGTGCGCGGGTAAAATAACGTGCAGACCAACAAGTAAAATTCACGAAAGACCCAACCAGTTACGAGAAGCAGAAAATCGGGTTTTATCAGCGAAGCTCTGTGTACAAAAACGGTACTTTACAGCGACAAAGAACTCCTCCACAAACCGAATCTTAAGATTTCTTACCTGGTCAGGACTTTGCTCTTTTGCACAGTGAATTAACCTGTACGAGAATTATAAATATACGTAAAAAAAAACAAAAACGCCTTATCCCAAACAAGAGTTAACTATTTTTCATATTACCCTCACACACAGTCTTGTAAAGAGCTAAAATGTAATTTTTCGTATAGCAGGTATGATTATACACACAGGTAAACGGCACGTACAGATGACCTTGAAGAAGCTGAACTTTTACCGCGAACCCATCTGCAGCGTTACTTACAGTGAAACTACTTGTGTTTGAGAGTAGACGTCGTTCCCCGAGCTTACGTCGTTTGTCAGTTTAGGCGCTAGCGTGTATATATGTGTGTGCAAAGTTCGAAACCGGGCTGTACGAATTTCGTTAATGTGAACATTTCGGTAAGTAGTACTTAAATTCCTTTGTAATAATAATATTACAAGTAAAATAAACAAGTCTATGTAAGAAAATATAATTTCGTTTATGTTGTTGGGCGTCGCGTATACTCGAGACCTACAGGTGGGAGAAGACAAGAGAGTTACAGAATCTTACACAAGTTACGGTCCCAATCTGACTGTGTAGTTTTGTTTACTGGAATGCTTACTCGTTTCTCACACGGTTCGCATCGACTCTTGTCCACCGTCGTATTAGAGTTAAGTTTTGTGTTCATTATTTAAACGATTATTATCGTTAAAAAACGTCTTGAACTTGAAGTCACAATGATGTCTGCGAAACGTTGTGGTGAAGACTGATAATTTATAGATTATTGTCGATTACATAAAAGTATTTTACTAGTAGAAAAAAAGGCCAGGCGTGGCCAAGTTTAAAATGCCGAACTATGGGTCTACGGTTCGTGTCCCGTTTCCGCTAAATCACGCTACGCACTTTGAGGATGTGGATGCCTTATAAGAATGATGGTCAAATCCCACTACTTGACTGGAGAGCACAAGAGTTGGCGGTGTGTGCTGTTTGACTAGCTGCCTTTCCCGTGGACTATTAGTTGCTAAGCTAGATATGACTAGCTATAACAGCATTTGTGTAGCTTTTTGCGAGATTCTGAAACAAACCTGAAGAAAAGGTTTTTGCGTCAGTTGTTCCTGGGTTGTTTTCCCTCACGTGGAGTGACGTGAGCGTTACTGAAGTTTACATTAGCTTAAAACTTACATTAAAACTAAATCGCTCTACTTTTTTCATAACTATATTAACAACTTCATTAGCTAACCCCGCCCGCACGAAAACTTTGTCCAAATTTAAGGAGAAAATCTGAAGATTTGAGATTGATTATCACGACCGAAACACGTTCGTATTTTAATATTAACCAATAAACGACAGCTTTGGAGCGAAGTAGGACTATCTTATAAAGTCATCGAAAATATTTAAGACTGAAGTTTTAGCAAACTTCATGAATTAGAAAATATTTCTCTAGTTAATCAGCTTAACTTTGAAATATAACAAAATAGACCTCTAATAATATCAATAAGAGTAGTTGATAAAGGGTCAGCCACTTGAAGTTATTGGATCGCTTATTAGTGTGATTATTTTGTTGCTAATAAATATTAATACTCGGACAAATACTGATAGATGGGTACAACATGGGGGCACACCCAATTCTTGTCGGGGAAGGATCGTGAGAGGGGGACACTCCTCAACCCGTATCACCTGCTACCCCTGCAACGCTTGCTATCCGCCAAAATGTCACGGATTTATTTGTTAACAAACAACTATCTGAAGTGAAGCCGAGTGTATGTCATCCTACAGTATCCATGAAAATTTTACACAAAACCAATTCAAGCGGTGAACAGTAAGGACGTTTGTTGATTCCGAAGATCGCTGTATCGATTAATTTGTTAAGCGAGTTATTAACAACGTTGTAACATTAAAAGTACTGTTTAATAACCTGTGACCTCTCACAGGTGCTCTGAAGTAATCCTGCTTATCGATTCATTGTGGGCAAAAGGACTTCGAGCTGCATGACGGTGGATTCGTGTTTTTAAGCTGGTTTCAGACTAGTTGGTATATCGTACGTGTCTGACGACTGAGTGCATGACGGTGGACTCGTGTTTTTAAGCTGGTTTCAGCATAGTTGGTATATCGTACGTGTCTGACGACTGAGTGCATGACGGTGGACTCGTGTTTTTAAGCTGGTTTCAGACTAGTTGGTATATTGTACGTGTCTGACGACTGAGTGCTCGTACTTGAAATTGTACTGAACAGATGCACGTTTTTTAAATCTGTGACGACGAGGGTGGCGGTGGGTCTGGTTTGATTTATCGAACGTATCTTTATAGTTTCAAAGTGACTCAAACGGCGAGTTTCGACAAGCTAACGACCACGTGGATTTGGTTTAGGCCCTGTTTAATATCTTTACAAATCTTCTAGGCACCAGCAGTCTACAGTTCTCCAAGCTGCACGTGCCACACTTTCTTTACCCTTATCGCTGTCTCATTTCGAGGAAGTGGCTTTTTTTTTTTTTGTTAGGGACACGCTCTGGAGTACGTAATATAATCCACAGAAGCATTTTTTGTTGGGGGGGGGGGGTTGTTATTATACTGATTGACGGGTTAATTATAGGACAGGTAAGTCGATGTGAATATCAAACTAAAAATACCGTCTCCAGTGGTTGGCTCAGTAGTAAAAAATGTTTATTTTACAGCTTCTTATAAAAAAAACCCAGTAATAATAAGCCTCAACATGGGCAAGGTCTGTTAAAAGCAGTTCACTTACTGATACATAGCATTTATAACGAACGAGGATTGACGTCTTATCTGATAGCTTGCCCATGAAAATAAAAAATGGTTCAACTTTAAGATACACAGTACTTATAATAAGTGAATATTGACGCCTTATTTTACCTGCCTTAGTTGCTGCGCCTGCGTGTAAGAAATCCCATGAAAATAAGAAACGGTTCAACTTTAAGATACACAGTACTTATAATGACCGAAGACTGATTCCTTAGCTTTGCTGTAGGTAAGACACCAGATTTAAAGTCGCTTAGTACTGGTGTTGAAAGGTAAATATTAATAATAATAAAAGGAAAAAAAGAAACGAATTTACCTACCGTTCAAGAAATACAAAACATAAAAAAAAATTGCAACAGCCCCGTGGGATCGAGAGAAGCGTCAAAAGCATTGTAAACAAAGTTTAAATATACTTAACATGGTGAGCTACTCGTTTGTTTCAGTGGTCGAAAAAGAGTTGTCTATACAGTAGTCTCCGTACACTCTGCGTGCACGTGAATAATGTTAAGTCCTACAACAAACTACCTATGTAGTTTCGTTCTTATTATTCTAGAAAAGAGTCGAATTTAACGAAGAAACCAGAAAGTTCAGTTAGATTAATAAGTACTTAAAGATTTGGGCGTGACCTATTGATTACATTATAAGGCTGCGTATCGAAGGTCGTGAGTTAGAGATGCGGTATCACTGAACGCGTTCAACGCTTTCAGTTGTGAGCGCTTTACAAAAGTGACATCAAATCCTGTTATTCGGTTCAAAGAGGCAGACAAAGCCCTCTAGCGGTAGGTGTTGCTGGTTGGCCTTCTTTCCTCTGGTCAGTTGTCCAAAATTAGGGATGGCCATACTTAAATCCTAGGGGGTCTCTGACCTGGCCGTTGTACCCACGTGTGCGTGAGGTTCTGTTCATATTTTAAATTCCAGTTCCAAGAAAAAGGAAAAAAATCGACGTTTCGTCGAAACGACCTTCACCGGAACGTGTCCTATATATTGTTATTTCAAACGACCTTCACCGGAACGTGTCCTATATATATATATATATATTGTTATTTCAAACGACCTTCGCCGGAACTTGTGCTAAAAATTGTTATTTCAAGCGACCTTCGCCGGAACTTGTACTATATATTGTTATTTTAAACAACCTTCACCGGAACTTATCGTATTTACTGCTGTCAAATTACAGGGGGCGCAATTTATTAAGAGAAAATGTTACACATAAGTGTGTGTGTGTGTAGGAGAGATTTCTAGTTTGAATTTGGTTTACTTTAGCCTCATTCTGAGTATGAGCGAATGCTTATCACATAAACACATTGAGTAATTTCGTATCTAGTTAAGCCTATTTGTTAAGGTATTTGAAGTTATTTCCCCAGATAAAATAGAACTTGATAAATAAGTATTTATTTATTTAGAAACTTAAAGAGGAATCGACCTTAAAGTATAATGTCCCACTTACCTGTTTAGAATTTTGTAGCGAAGATTTGTTTTCAGGATTTACGTGTAAGGGGCCTGAAAAAGGGGCTATCAAGTAGGAAAACGAAACATAGTTGTACACAAGAGGCGTCGCTAGATGTCTTAAAAGTTTCGGGGCGCTGGAATTTTCGGCGTTTCAGTATGACATCTTTTAGGGATTTCTATTCTGATTTTTCCAGAAACCAACTGGGGATTCAGGGCACTGTAAAATAGAATCGGGGCACGGACCCCTTGTGCCAGCGCCGCCTCTGGGTAGAGATACCTGTTGCCTGCAGAAATTGTTTGTCCGTTTACTGTGACACATTGTTTGGTCAACATTTTAGTTATTGTTTTTCACATCTGTGCACTTGATAGATCGACGGTTATGATCGGAATTCAATTGAATACTGAATTATAATGAGTATTTAATACGTATAAAATAAAATTGGTGGAACATTTATTGAGTTATTAACAAAGCGTGTATACTGATGGTTAACTGGACTTCTTGAGAACGGTGCTCCAGGTACGTGTTTAGCCTATTTTGTGTATACTGATGGTTAACTGGACTTCTTGAGAACGGTGCTCCAGGTACGTGTTTAGCCTATTTTGTGTATACTGATGGTTAACTGGACTTCTTGAGAACGGTGCTCCAGGTACGTGTTTAGCCTATTTGTGTATACTGATGGTTAACTACACTTCTTGAGAACGGTGCTCCAGGTACGTGTTTAGCCTATTTTGTGTATACTGATGGTTAACTACACTTCTTGAGAACGGTGCTCCAGGTACATGTTAAGCCTATTTTGTGTATACTGATGGTTAACTGGACTGCTTGAAAACAGTGTTCCAGGTACGTGTTTAGCCTATTTTGTGTATACTGATGATTAACTACACTTCTTTAGAACTGTGCTCCAGGTCATCACTGCTCGTGGAATTGCTACTGTTTCCTCAGTCCATTGTCGTGCCCAGACTGATGGTCATGATTAAGCACTGTTGCCCGACCACCGTATTTTCCGTTGTTAAGAGCTGCGAGGGTAGTTTTAGACAACACATTTTGATTTTTCCACGGATCCCCCACTGCACGTGAACGTTAAGCCTCCAAGACAGACCACTTTCAAAGAAACCAAAGGCACATTAATATATTGGAGTGGCATCAAGAGACTTGGCAATTATGTAATAGAAAGTATTTATGTAATTCCAATTTTCTTGGCATCTTTTTCATG